TTATTTCCCCTCAGCATAGTGTCCTTTAGGTTCATCCATGTTGTGGCATGCATCAGGACTCCATTCCTCTTTATGGCTGAGTAATATTCCATTGTATGTATACACTACATTTTGTTTATCAGTTGATGGACATTTCAGTTGTTTCCACCTTTTGGCTGTGTGAATAATGCTGCAGTGAACATTGGTGTACACATGTCTGTTCACAGGACTGCTTTTGGGTCTTTTGGGTATATACCTGAGAGTGGAATTTTTGGGTCATATGGTAATTCAGTGTTCAACTCTTTGAGGAACTGCCAGGCTTTTTCCACAATGGCTGTACCAATTTACAATTGTACTCGCAGTGGATGAGTGTTTGTTTCTCCCCAACCTCAGCAACACCTAGTGTTTTCCTTTTTCAATCATTGCCATTCTAATCGGGTTGAGATGGTATGTCATTGTGGTTTTGATTTGCATCTCACTAGTGGCTATAGGGTCGCAATGAGTCGGAATCAACTCCATGGTAATAGGTCTGGTTTGGTTTTTAGCAGCTAATGAAGGAGCCCTGGTGGCGTAGTGGTTACAGTGTTCAGCTGCTAATCTAAAGGTCAGCGGTTTGAACCCACCAGCCACTCCATGGGAGAAAGATGTGGCATTCTACTTCTGTAAAGATTTACAGTCTCAGAAACCCTATGGGGCAGTACTATTCTGTCTTATAGGGTAGCTATGAGTCAGAATCAACTCCATGGTTAACAGGTTTGGTTTGGTTTTTATTGGATATTGAAGGAGCCCTGGTGGCGCAGTGGTTACAGTGCTCAGCTGCTAACCTAAAGGTCAGTGGTTTGAACCTACCAGCCGCTCCATGGGAGAAAGATGTGGCAGTCTACTTCTGTAAAGATTTACAGTCTCAGAAACCCTATGGGTTAGTTCTACTGTGTCCTATAGGGTCGGTATGAGTCGGAATTGACTCAATGGCAATGGGTGGAGTGCTTAATGGCTTCGAGCATTTTTTCACGTGCTCGTTCATTTGAATATCCTGCTTGGTGGATTATCTGTTCAAGTCCTTTGCCCAATTTTTGATTGGGTTCTCTTTTTGTTGTCAAATTGTAGAAGTATTTTATAAATTTTGGATAATAAACCTTTATTGGATATACAGTTCCCCAAAATTTTCACCCACTCTGTAGGCTGTTTTTTTCACTTTTTTGATAAAGTCTTTTGATGCACAGAAGTATTTAATTTTCATGAGGTCTCATTTGTCTGTTTTGCCTTTAGCCCCTCATGCTTTTGTTGTATCTGATAGCCCATCACAAAAACCTAGATTCCATGGCTTCATCCTGACATTTTCTATGAATTTTATGGTTTTAGTTTTCACATTAAGGTCCTTGATCCATTTTAAATTGGCTTCCTGTATGGTGTGTGGTGACCCAACCAGGTTGGGTCCTGGTTCATTTTTCTGCATGTGAGTATCCAATTTTCCCAGCACCATTTATTGAAGAGATACTTCCTTTCCCACTCGATGAAATTTAGCACCTTGTCAAGAATCAGTTGATTAATTTTGGAGTCTTAATTCTGTTCCATTGGTCTATATGTCTATTATTATACAAGTACTAGGCTGTTTTCATTACGGTAGCTCTGGAGTATAATTTGAAGTCAGGAAGTGGTGAGTCCTCCTACTTTCTTCTTCTTCTTTTGGATTGCTTTAGTTATTCAGGGTCCCTTGTCCTTTCATATAAATTTTGCTTTGTTTTAGTTTTTTCTTTTCCATCCAAAGCCAATAAAGTAACTGAAACTCAGTGAAGTGTTCTATAAAATACTATTTGTATAGTGTTTTAGAGTCAGAAAAAGTCCCTTTTTACTTATTTCTTGGAATGACCATAAGAGTTTATTATTGGGATTCCAGGGTCCAAAGTCACGTAACAGGTAATAGCTCACATAATTGGCAATAGCAGGACTAAGACTCAAACCTAGTTCCTTTAACTTCCATTTCCATGCTTATTTCACTATATAAGACTGTTGAGTGTGGACAAATACCATAAACTACTAAGAAAAGCAATTGTTTGATCAGTTCCTGGAGATCTAGCCTTGGAATTATCACAGGGAGAAGCCATGGTCTCAATACTTGGGGAACCTTGGTTTCTGCCACAAGTTTTATTCTTGAAAGACTCACAGATTTTTTTTTTGGTGGCAGGGAAGGGAACTGAGCATGGGGATGAGAAGGAGCATCAATACCTTATTGGACTAACTTACTTCTGAGCAGACAACTAAAATCATTGTGAACTGAACATATATAATCTTAGCTGAAATAACATTTAAGCCTTCAAGATTGATTTAAGGATGTGTTTATTTACAAGACAATAAATGCTTAATATTTAATAGAATTAAAGTGCTTAATTTTACAATGTTTCTAATTCTCTGTCTTTATGACCAAATATACATATGTTACATAATATATACACTTTCTGCAAGTATTTTACATTCATACAACTAGAAAAGAAAAATTACTTTTCATGTACACCTTTTCACATTTGAACCAACTATAAAATTCAGAGACCATACCTTTTCAAACTGATTAGTCAACAATTTAAAAGAAAAACCCAGATAATACCTGTTCAAAAATTATCAGTCAATTGTCACTCACAAAGTGAAATGCTAATTTTGTGAAGAAGTTATATACAGACATGATTGTTTTGCTAATGAAGAGAGACCCCAACCATGATACATTCAACATCCATATAGTGTATAATATATAATGCAATTCTGTTATCATAATGGTCCCCACAAACTATTATATTCCTTCCCAAAGCTACATATCACTCTTCTTATTTGGTATTCACTTATTAAATATGCTATAATGAAATTTCTTGACTTAATTTTTCACTAAATCTACCACAACAAATTTTAGGAAGGGATAACCATCACGTAACTCTCAGTGACCCACACGGAGTGAAAAACTCTCTTGTAGAAGCCGTGTGCTGTTTCACCTCAAAACACTGAAAAGACATAGCATTCTGCCAAAATCTCAGTCCAGAAAGTAGAAGTACATGATTGATTTTAGAGGGATTTTTTGCCTCAGTAAAAAGTATAAAAAATGGCCAAAGAGAATAAAAATTTTTTAAAGCCCAATGGGGTACCAAAAGTAATGACAGGATACCAATGGTATAATTTAGAGGCCAAAGTCAAAGTCCAGGTTGCCATGAATCCCATCAGCATGCAATTACTTACATAGATTTATATCTTACAGTTTGTATTCCTTCCGCAGTTTATTTTCCTCTTAACATACATTGTTCTGATTGGGAGACTAGCAGTCTCCTCCTGTCCACCTCTCTGTGCATTCGTGCTTATTTTAGATTCTAATCTTATTTCTCTCTACCATATCTGTAAAGAAAGCAAAGTTATCTTCTCGTGACTACATGACTAAAGGGCATATACAAGGATGAATTATACATTAAAATCTATGTAAATAATTTAAAATATTTAAGTTAAAAAGAAAAGTTTCAATAAAAAACTTCATTTCTGTGGAAAGACATAATTGAAAATGAACAATGTGTTTACATATATACATACATTATAAATTCACAGAAAAAAATTTTTTAAGTAGACCTAGTCTAGTAGTCCTTAGATGTAATAGTCATATTTTCTAAATCTAAAGAATCTACAGTAGATAGTAGTATGAAAATAAAAAGCAGTTTGAGTCTACTAAAATTGAATAAGAATGAAGAAGTAACATGATCCACTACAGATCTCAGTACAGTCCTAAGCATAGGAACTGGTTAGCCACAGTTCTTATATTAATACATTCTTGAAGAATACAAAATTTAAGAATGAAAACATTAAGACATTTTCACCTTTCGAATTAATTTTAGCTTATAAATACCATGTGCTTAATCTTCAACCTGCTAACACGATATGAACATCATGTGATGTAAGAAATTTTAATTAGCCTTATACTTTGCATTATAGCAAGGATACCTGCACAAAAATAAGACCTTTGTTCCCTAGGAGTTTATTTGCTCTTGTTGGTGCCTTTTCCCCAGGATATATTCAGTCCAGATAATTAGAGAGTTATTACAGACAGTATGCTCAGAATAAGAACTTAAGGCTTTGAACATAATCAGAAATGAGATCTAAAATTTAATGGGGAAAAAAACACCCTGTTTCCACAAAGTAGAAACAGGAAAAAGTAACATAGAATGTGAGCTTGCAGAAGTAATTTTGATGAAAGATTTTTAGAAGGCATCAGTGAATCTTTAACAACCCTGCAACACCATGAAGTTTGTCCTTTATTTAAAAGGTTAGTTTTTGTAAAAAGTTCAGTAATTTTTTAAAATTGGGTCTGTTTTTTTCCTAATTGGGGTAGGTCACTCAGTGAAGATAAGTGCAGCAACCTGTATGTTGAATTAAACTTCATGGAAAATGAAATGTAGCTTGATAAAGTAGTGCAGATGTGCTTTAATTTTTTCACCATCCATGCCCTTTGCAAAAATAAAAATATTTTTGATAGTTACTTGAATCCAAGGAAGAATGCCCCCCCCCACTTTGTCCCTATACTCAACAATTTATAGTATTACTTCTAGGAAATTAATTTTCTATATATCCATTGGCTCTAGGGGCCTTCATATTAAATTTTCAGTATAAAAACATACCCTGGAGAGTTTTATTGCTTGCATACACAATGGCATTATAGACACCTTTATTATGAAAGTGGCTGGTAGCATTTTTTTGTTATTGAACCCCACTGAAAACCTGGAGATAAAAGTCTGCACTACATTTCATGCTAAATATACCAAACGGTAGACGTTCAGTTTCAGCAGAAGTCAAATTTAAGTTTAAAAAACTGGAATGTTTTTTAATGAATAGCAGTTTTTATCAAATAAGTATCTTCAAGTTTAAAGGAAGGGCACTTGAAAGGAAAATGACTCAGAAAGCACCAAATTAGAGAAAATAAAGAATTAAGACCCACATGGAATACTGGTTTTAGTAGGAAAGCAACTAATTATTTTTTTATGTTCAATTTGTCATGACTGCTCAGGTGTCTCAGAAAGCAAAAGACATAGATTACTCTTGTAACCAAACACACATTGGATCTTTTGGTTTAGTTAAGTGTTTTAAGATGGCTGACTTAAAAGAGTGTTCTTTGCCTTTTGCTAAGTAAAAGCATTAGTGATTCTTTAATGAGACACAGGGAAGCAGCTTCACTGCTTTTCTTTGTGCTTGGCTGAAGATTTTGGGGCAGAAAGTGAAGGATGGTGAGAGAATAACCAAAATTTCTCTTTAGCACTAGTATTTCTAATTTTTTTTAAATTAAAGATAGTGAATATTATGAGTGTGATAATAAATACTTGAGTATTTCAATAATATAAATTGAATAACATTGATATTTATTGAGCCAAAAATTGTGTGTGTCCATGTTACTTCCATTCAAGGAGAACATAATGGTAGGTAAAGTGTAGTTCTTGCTGTTCAAAATATTTTTCAAAAATAATCTGTCCGATAAATCTAATTGGCCCTTACATTCCATTGTTCTATCCAAATTTACAAAAGACATCTTCCCCTGATAATCATTCCACATTTTTATTGCTTCTCTTTTCTTATGATTCAGAACACCAAAGCTTCATCTACAGCTATAGTTTAACCTTCTAAAAATCACCCCAACACACTCACACACACACAAATGTACAGTTAATAACTAGAAAATAGAAGCAATGTAAATTTTAGTCTGTCCCTGATTTAATAGGGCCTAAGAAGCTACCTTTATCTCTTTTTGGCTCTGAGTATTTGGCTTCATGTTAATGATCATGGCTGGTATTACTTTTACAGAGGAAGGGAACCTAATCATGTTGGTCATAATTGGTTCACCTGCTCCTTTTGGGTGGAAAAAATGGGAGATATTTCAAATGTTTCTTAAAGCAATGGGTCCTGAATAAATATGTGGCAGTCTCCAATTCTGAGGAAACCTATTCTACAGTTAAGGTGTAATCCTTAAAGGCTGAGGATAATGGGGTCATTTCCTGTGGGTTTCTAGCAGACTGATGCTTTAAAAAATGAGATTGGGGTATGACAGGGTGAACGAAAAAATCCTTTTGTCAAATTATATTTTTTAAATTAAGCAGTCATTTTAATATGAGATTTTAATCACAAGAACAATATAATAAAGAAGCCTTTGAGACAAGGAATCATATTTTGTCTATTAAAGTTCCCCAGAGGATAAAAGGAAAAACATTATCAGATCCTCTTCAATCATTCTGTCCCTCCCCAAAACCTGCCATTAAAGTATTTCTTTCTCAATATTATGTTTTCCCCCTCTCTTCTCTGGTGAGGTAGTTTATGGACTTGAGCATAAACTTCCTTTACTACCCCCCAAAATACAGATTATCACATGTGAATTTTGTTTCATAACTCACAAAGAAATAGGCCCACACAGTTATCTTAATTGTTCATTATATATAGTCTTCATTTAACCATGCTTAACAGTCTTATGGAGCTGTGGTGGCACGGTGCTTCAAAGTTCAGCTGATAACCAGTTGGAATCCAACAGCCGCTCCTTGGAAACCCTATAGGGCTGCTTTGAGTCGGAATCGACTCGATGACAACAGGTTAACAGTCTTATGAAAATAAAAATATTACAATAAACGTAGTTTCCACATGCCCCAGTTCTTTGTAAGCTCAAGTGTCCTGTACAGTGTAGGTTTTCGTGAAGATTTTTGTACATGCTGATGTTAACTGCTGCAACAATTATGGGATTGGAAATGGTAAAATAACCTGTATGACAGACAGTCCCAGTGACCAAAATGCACGTTATCATCTCAGAATAATTAAGACGGAAGCATTAACTAAACTCTTATATGTAAATAGGTATTATTAGCACCTTCAAAAAGCGGCACTGTTTTAAATAGGCAGAGAACAACCAAAAAAAAAGTAAAAATACTGTTGGAATCCACTAATGTATCCCATGCCACATAAATTACTGCTTTTTCTTATTATAAAAATATCAATACCCTTAAATGTCAGATGTCAATCAGTTAAACATAAATCACCGAAAACGTTTAAGTTTAGAACACTATTCAATTCCAAGATAAAATGTGCTTTATATTTAAAAAATAAATTAGAGACAAATATGAACCAGAAGCTGAGAAGAAAAGCATGTATTGTGTTTGTAGATGTATATATTTATATGGAATACTATGAACACATAATTGCTATATACTTAAGGGATTTTATTCTTATGAGTATTTCTATAAAAAACAAGTACTTTCTTAAGTCAAAAGCCTGAACATCAACAATTTGTCCTTTTATTGTTTTGTTTTAAAAGAGCATACGTTATTTATTTAGCATTATAAACTAAATAAGCTAATATAATAACCTAAACTGTCCCTGTATTTTTTTTTTTTTACCATGGATCTATTTTGGCAACATGGAGGTATATCTTTCAAACTGTCACAAGTCCTACGTGTGAAAAACACATTAAATATTTTTTTCTTAAATGAAAGTCGCCCATTCTAACCTGATAGTGATACAATCAATTGATACCATTTTCTTCAAGACAAAAGTACACATTCAAGAAACAGCTCATAAAAAATGCTCCATTTTTCACATTATTTCAAAATTTATCAGTGGAATGGCTCTGCACATGAATTTCACTAAGAGTACATAAATATAGGAAAACAGCCCCCAAACGATGCATTTATGAGCCTGTATTTTTTTTAACATAAAGTGCTAAGAGATGAATAAGGAGATTGGGAATGTCTTGAACTGTAAATCTTGAGACCCCCTACCCTGTGGCTGGTCCTGGAGTTCAGCATTCTGATTTTTTCATAGGTTCAGCATGATCGTCCAAGGTGGCTGGATGCTCATTTGGACTAGGTGGTGTCTCACCTGTGACAGCTAAGAGAATGATTTTCAGCCACTTCTGTTTCAGTTCCTCATTGTCTGCGGCAAAGCTGTGCACAGACTTGGACTGGGTCAGTTTGAAACTGTGTGGCAGATCTGCACTCCTTGGCATGTCATCCACAACGTAGCCCAGAAGTGGAATGGTGGCCTGGGCTCTGACATCCTAGGGAAAATGTATCATACATATGAGTGAGTATGTATTAGCTTGCTACCTCTTTTCCGACCACTGCCCCACACACACTCGCACTGTGACCTCTCTATGGGCACACTGCCTAAACATGAGGCCTTTGGTAATGTTGCCTGAATGAATTCACAAATGTGAGCTGACACCCAAATCAGCCAGGACTTGGCAAAGTTACACCTCCTGTGAATGAGGAAGCCCATTCAGCTCTCCATTCGTAAGAAAGGGAAGAAAGTAAGTTCTTTATTGTATAAAACCAAATGTTAATGATGACTTCATTACCATTCATCTGTTTACTTATGGACAGAGAGAAGGTTAAAGGAAAACAATGAAAGATAATATAATATACCTTGGTATTTTTAGTCTATTGATAAAATAAAATAATTTTACTAGCCCTTAATTTAGATATCCTTAATTTAGATATAGGTTAAAATGTAACAGGTACATTTAAAACTTTTATATTTCCAGAGTGAATGCATAATTGGTTTAAGTGTTGTTAGTTTTAATTTTTTTAAATTGCAGTAAATATGTATATAACATTTGCCATTTCAGCATTCTTCACTTGTACAGTAAAGTGAACACTATCGTTCATCATGTTGTTCAACCATCGTTCTTACCCATTCTCACATTTTTCTCTCGCCCTTAACACAGAAGCTCAGTATCCCCTGAGCATTGTCCTTTTTTTCCCCTTCTATCCCCCTGCGCCTAGTAACCACTAATAAGCTTTTGTGTCTGTATACTTGCCTATCCTTGATATTTCATAAGTGGGATTATACAGTATTTGTCCTTTTGTGACTGACTTTTTCACTTAGCATGATGTTTTTAAGGTTTATCTATGTTGTAGCATGTATCAGGACTTCATTTCTTTTTATGGCTGCATAATATTCCACTGTATGTATATACCACATTTTATTTATCCAGTCATCTGCTGATGGACATTTAGGTTGTTTCCACCTTTTGGCTATTGTGAATGGTGCTGTAGTGAACATTGGTGTACATGTATTTGTGTTCTTGGCTTTCAGTTCTTTTGGGTAGGTTCCTAGAAGTGGAACTGGTGAATCATATAGGACCCCTGGTGACACAGTGGTGAAGAGCTATGGTTGCTAAACAAAAGGTCAGCAGTTCGCATCCACCAGCCACTCCCTGGAAACCCTATGGGGCAGTTCTACTCTGTCCTATAGGGTTGCTATGAGTCAGAATCGACTTGAAGGCAACAGGTTTATGGTAATTCTGTGTGTGTAACTTTTTGAGGAATTGCTAGACTGTTTTCCACAGCGGCTATACAATTTTGCATTCCCATCAGCATTTGAAGAGGGTTCTAATTTCTCCACATCCTTGCCAACACCTGTAGTTTTATGTATTTGTTAATCATAGCCATCTTAATGGGTGTGAAGTGATATGTCATCATGGTTTTGATTTGTATTTCCCTAATGACTAATAATGTTGAGCCTCTTTTCACGTGCTTATTGGCCGTTTGCATTTCTTCTTTGGTGAAATGTCTAATTCCCTTGCCCATTTCTTGATTGAGTTGTTTGTCTTTTTGTTGTTAAGTTATAGGAGTTATTTGTTATAGGAGTTATTTACATATTCTAGCTATTACACCCTTATCAGATACATGGTGCCTTAGTTATTTAGTGCTGCTATAACAGACATACCACAAGTGGGTGTCTTTAACAAAGAGAAATTTATTTCCTCATAGTAAAGTAGGCTAAAAGTCCAAATTCAGGGCGTCAACTCCAGGGGAAGGCTTTCTTTCTCTGTTGTCTCTGGAGGAAGGTCCTTCTCATCAATCTTCCCCTGGTCTAGGAGCTTCTCCACGCAGGAACCCTGGGTCCATAGGACACGCTCTGCCCCCGACACTGCTTTCTTGGTGGTATGAAGTCCCCCTGTCTCTCTGCTTGCTTCTCTTTTTTATATCCCAAAAGAAACCGGCTCAAGACACAATCCAATCCCTAGATTGAGTCCTGCCTCATCAACACAACTGCTGCCCATCCCCCCTCATTAACATAATAGAGGCAGGATTTACAACACATAAGAAAATCACATCAGATGACAAAATGGTGGACAATCACACAATACCAAATTGATAACACACATTTTTGGGGGATACAATTCAATCCATAACATATACATATGGTTCCCAAAATTTTCTCCTGATCTCTAGGTTGTCTCTTCACTTTAATAAAGTCCTTTGATGGACAAAAGTTTTTAAATTTGATGAGGTCCCATTTATTTTTTTCTTTTGTTGCTTATGCTTTTGGTGTCATTTGTAAGAATCCATTGTTGAAAATGAGTCCCAAAGTATTACCCTTATGTTTTCTTCTAAGAGTTTTATGGTTTTAGATCTTAGATTTAGGTCTTTGATCCATTTTAAGTTAGTTTTTATATATGGTGAGAGGTATGGGTCCAGGTTCATTCTTCTGTTTGTGGAGATCTAGTTGTCCCAGCTCCATTTATTAAAGACTATTCTTTCCCCATTAGATGGGTTTAGCACCCTTGTTAAAGATTAATTGACCACAGATGTGTGGTCTATTTCTGAACTCTTAATTTTATTCCATTGGTCTAAAAGTCTGTCATTATAACAGTATCAGACTGTTTGGATTACTGTAGCTTTATAATGTGTTTTTGAGATTGGGAAGTGTGAGTCCTCCTACTTTGTTCTTCTTCTTCAAGACTCCTTTGAGTATTTGGGTCCCTTGCAGTTCCATATAAATTTGAAGACTGGCTTTTCCATTTCTGCAAAGAAGTCTGTTAGAATTTTGATGGGGACTGTGTTGACTCTATAGATTTCTTTAGGTGGTATTGACATCTTAACAATATTAAGTCTTCTGATCCATGAGCACAGAATTTTCTTCCATTTAGTTAGGTCTTTAATGTCATATCCAGATTGTTCATTTCTGATGTATAGAAACACACTTGACTTTTGCAGGTTAACCTTGTATCCTCCATTTTGCTAAGTTCATTTATTAGCTCTAGTAGCTTTCTTGTGGATTCTTTGGGGTCCTGTATATGAGGATAGAAGCCCGGGTGGTGCAATGGTTAAGCACTTGGCTGCTAACTGAAAGGTTGATGGTTCAAACCTACCCAGCGGCTGTGTGGAAGAAAAGACCTGGCAATCTGCTTTCATAAAGGTAACAGCCTACAAAACCCTATGGGGTAGTTCTCCCTATGGGGTAGTTCTACTCTGTCACATTGGGTTGCTATGAGTCAGAATTGACTCTATGGCATCTAACAACAACAATGTATAGGATTGTGTCATCTGTGAATAATAGCTTCTTCCTTTCCAATTTTGGTAACTTTTATTTCTTTTTCTTGTCTAATTGCTCTGGCTAGAACTTCCAGTACAATACTGAATAGCAGTGGTGAGAGTGGGTATCTTGTCCTATTCCTGATCGTAAGGAGAAAGCTCTCAGTCTCTCTCCATTGAGTATGATGTTAGCAGTGAGTTTTTAATAAATGCACTTTATCAGATTAGGGAATTCTTCCTTCAATTTATAGCTTGTTGAGTATATTTATCATGAAAGGATGTTGGATTTTGTCAAATGCCTTCTCTGTATCAATTAAATTCTTCAGGGCTGAGTAGATTTTTTTTCTCATTGCAGTTCTTGGTGTACATGTGAGAAGGGTCAAGAACTTAGAACTGCTTATGCCACTGTCTGCTTATGCCACAGTCTTCTCACAGTCTGTTTGCTTGTTTTTTAAGTAAAACACCATCTACAGTGCCTGCTGCTATTTTTCTCCTGTTAGAAGCAAAACCAGTGTCTCACCAGTGTCTCTGTTGTTTCCAGAGATTTACTTCAGATCTGTACACATTATGGTTCTCAAAAAATTGTTAATGTTAACCAAAGATGGCTTAAAATTCTCCTTCATCTCAAATTCCATTCTTTTTCAAGTATCCACCCATCCAGCAAAAAGGGAATCTTAATATTATTTCCTATCATAAAAAGGCTCAGTTCTCCCTTTTGCTTCTCCCTTTCTCCCCATGCTGTATTCTAATTCAACCCACTTTTTCTTAAACCTGCTGAATAGGAATGAGAAAAGCAGACAAACGATCCATAGGGTGAAGAAAATATTGCCTCTAAAAGGAATCAATCAACTTAAATAACAAACTTGAATTTTAGTTACTCATTATTTTTCAGTTTTAGTGAAGTTGTCTGAGCTCTCTTGTTCTACAGAGGAGCAAACGGAAGGATTTTGAGTTCATGCCCACTGGCCTCCCTCTGTCCTTGATGACCTCTGTTGCTTAAGTTTACATACCTGTGGGGCACCATACATGTATAGCACGAGAGGGTCTTGCTTGGGGATCACACACCAAGCCTTCTGCCAAGGTTTTGACTTCTCCATGTACTGCAGAAAGCTGCACACCATGCTGTTTCCCGAAACTTCTGCTGATTCAATCTAGAAAAATGTAATGAAGAGAAAGAGTGTGTGTGAGAGAATGAACACAAAATGAACTAGATTGAGAAGTAATACATCTTAAGAAAAACAAAGTACAATGTGTTTGTATAAAAAGTCTCCTTGAATTGTCCAAGAAAGGACCACCTACCAGTATTATTTAAGTACACATTTAGATCTGTCACAAGCCATGGGAAAATAATTGAGCAGATTTCAACTCTTTATATTCCTAGACCTTGAATTTAAACAGAGCTAACATTTATTAACTTCTTACTATGTACGCACTTTTCTTTACCTACTACGTGTATAATTTTACTTAATCCTAACACCAACAGGGAGAAGTTAGTACTTTCATTATCTCTGAGGCTCAGGGTTTAAATAGCTTTCCCAAGATAACACATTTACTAATTGGCATGCTAGGATTTGAACCCAGGCAGTCTGATTCCAGAGCCTGAACTTTTAACCACAATGCTACAGTGGCTCAAACTATGTAAGAATGTAATAGCAAAAAGACAAATACCAAACAGCAGTCTTTTTTAATCATTTGAGGTCACAGTACCTCAAATAATTTAAAAAACTTTTTTTTAGTTGCAGTAACTTTTTAGAAAGCCATTTACAGTTTTCTGAGTTGCCTCCTAATATATGCACTCCTCACTTACTATCTCGTTATCTGACATTTTGCATTTACAACAATAATAAAGAAATCTACTGTCTGCCTATTTTGTGCATTAATAAGGTGGCAGGCATCAGACAAACGGATAGTGTGAAAACAGAAAAAACAAACAAACCCATTTTCGCCTAACGCCAATTTTCACATAATGACCTGGTCTTTGGAACCTAACCATGTCAATAAGTGAGGACTCAAAAAAAAACCAAAAAACAAAAAAACCTTAACCCATTGCCATCAAGTCGATTTCGGCTCATAGCGACCCTATGGTAAATCACTAGCTAAAAAGAGAACAAAACCATTTGACTAAATAATGGTTTTTATTATATACATTACAGAAAGTAACTGGTTTTCTATTTCTGAAATCCCTAGGATGGTGCTGCTCAGCGTCATCCATGGAACCGTGCTGGTTTGCAAATTCTTTTGTAATCAGTTCGAGATAAGCATAGAAATAACAGTAAGCATTTACAGAATTAAAGCAACTTGACTTTGCCATGACACCCAAGTGCAGGACTTTGAATTTTACAAAAGTATTGATCTGTGATGGATTAGATGTAAAACTGGCCCTTCATTTCTGATACTTTAAGAAGCACTGATTGGCAAATTATGGCCCACAGACCAATGCCAGCCCACTATTTATTTTTGCATGAATCATGAGTTAAGAATGGTTTTTACAGATGAACATTTGCAATCAATTTTCTGATAGGAAGCACTAACTTTGAGCTCCAATTAAGAGAAATGTTATCCCTCCAAAGAGAATTCCATTCTTCTCATTAGTAGAGACATATTATTAAAAATCACACTAAATTATATTTTGAATTTTGTTTAATAATTTATAGAAATGTGTTTTTTTCTTTTGTTATAACAAGTACTACCTACATGGCCTGCAAAACTGATTATGTTTTCTCTCTGGCTCTTTACGGAAAGAGTTTGCTGATCTGTGGGTCTAGAGCACCTAACACTGTTAACTGGCACAGAATAAGTCTCGAATGTGCATTTATGTGTGTATGCACGCACACGTATAATACTTCTACTTACGGACTTCCTACTATGTATTTATTTGGTTAGATGAGTTAATCTAATAAGCATTTCATGAAATTTTCCCCCCAAGTATAATTCTTTTTTAATAAGACTAGAAATTTTTATTTTATAGATATAGCCTGAAACTCACACTTAAAACCAGTTATCTGGCTTATTATACTGTGCCTGTCTCATCATCTGCTGCTGTTCCTGGGGGCCACTGCAGCATGTCATTCTACCCTACCTGCCCATGAAAGCCCCCACTGTAGTCTGCCAAACAAGTAATACCTATTCCTCAGAAGAATTCAGAGTTCTACTTTTAGTTTATGGGTCTACAGTTTAACCTCATGTGGATCTTGAAGTTTAAGTAATCTTTTTTAAGTTAGTAGAAATGACATTTGAAAGCTTATACAATGTAGGTGCTCAATAAATACTTCCTGATTCTCTAGAAATTCTTAATAAGCCAAATATATGTATGACTTTAGCTACACAGAATTTTGATCATGAGCCCATTCTTCAAAGACTTTCCAGGCTGTCTTTGAACTTATTGCCACAAAGACCTTATTATATAATTACCCCTTATATTCTTAGTATCTTTGAGTATGAAATTCATTTCAGACACAGGCTGCATTACAGTCCCCAGGCTTAGGGGTCTGAATTTATTCTAAAACATGAGTCAAATTCACTTGGGAGAAACTTCAATAATAGTTTACAATGCAGTTGTCAGACTGCTGTCACTGCCTATTTGATGATGCTCTCAGTGCAATAAATTGGAAGAGTTTTTCAGATAATAAAAAATATTTTAATCTAAATTTGAAAAATTTTATGCAGTGGTTTTCAAAGTTATTGTGATGAAATTTGGGAAAAAGCTGTCCTATAGAGAAAATGTACTATCATAGTTTGGACATGAGAAGAGAGGCCAATTAATGCTCTAATATTTGGCTATAGCTACTTTCACCAAATCACCATATTTTCATTTTCAATGAATTTTCAATGAATGTTGGTTTAACATAGCCCCCTCTTCTTTCTATATAACCACATAGGATCCCAAGTCAGCAATATAGAACAAAACTATAAATTATGTTCATTATTACCCAAATTGTTAAATACTAAGAGAAATAATATATATATTTTTTTTATATTCTTCAGGGGTAAAAGAGAATTCAAAGTTCTTTGTATAAAAATCTAACAGATATCCAATATTTAATGTTTATCATACCTCTAAAATTCCCTTCCTTTTCTTTTCTTCACTGTCTGTGAATCCACTTATTATTTGATAGCAGTCTTTACAAACTTTGCTCAATTTACCACCATCATACTCAAGCTGAGCTTTGTAATCAGAACACTTCCAACAAACCACCTTAAATTAAAAAGAAGGGTAATGAGAAGTGAATAATCATATTTAAAAAATGATGTGTTAAGCAATAATCAGTTATAGGTAATAATAAATGAAAAAAGTTAAATGCAAAAGGCAGATTTTTATCACACTAAGAAGATCCCCATAAACATTAGGAGTGTTTGTCATGGTGGTGTGAGCTATCCCAGGGTTGTGACAGACTCTGTCAACTTATCCTTCTCTTCCTGATTTCTAAAAGTAGGAGATGCTCTTATTCTTTACACCTCTGGATGTTTTATCAACATCTTCCCCAAACTGAACTCATGATCATCCTTGCTGTCAGCTCTCTCCTTACTCCACCCCAACTACCTCACTCCTTCCAATCTGGTCCCCTCTCATAGTGCTCCCTATGGCAGGAAATAGCATGACCATCTAACCAGTGATGACAAGTCAGAAACGTAGGAGTCATCCCTGACACCTCCCTCTACATCACCCCATAGATTGATCATAACCATACTACAATGTCCTGCTGATTTTATCTCAAATATTTCTTCAATCTGTCTCCCTTTCTATATCTTCCTGTATTACCCAAGTCCAAGCTATCAGTGTCCTAGTTTGGACTACGATTATAGCCTCCTAACTGGTGTCCTTGTAGCATTCTTACTGACCTCCACTCTTGCATCTCTCCAAGCTGTTTTCTAAACAGCAGCCAGATGCTCTTAAAAACGCTAATCTGATATATTCCTCCTCTATTTAAAATCCTACAAAGTTTTCCCTTTGCTCTTGGAGAAAGAACAAATTCTTTGTTCTACCCTTCTCACTCCCCTTGCTCTGTCTCTTCTGTCACATTGGCTCCTTCCCACCTGTATGAAGTGCCACGCATTTCAGCCTTTTGTGAGTTAACTCTTGCTCATCCTTCAGCTGTTGGTTCAAATTTCCTCAAGTAAGACTCCCCTGACTTCCAGAATAGAGCATGTTTCTTGTCACTGTCAAAGTACTAAAACTCCCAGTACTTTCTTTCACAGCACTAATTACAGTTTTTAATTATATACTTCTGTGAATATTTGATTAATGTTTGTCTCCCTCACTAGGCAGGAGAGATTGTTCTTGTATATTTTGCTCACCAGACACACAATATTCATAGAATGTCAGTGAATGAGTGACTACAATGCAAATGCATGCTGTTTCTTAGTGAACGGTATTTTTCATGTCTGTTATCTGAAAGATATCAAATAATATTTTAATTTGTTTATTTTCATATCATAGTATTTTGATAATCCACATGTAAACACATTTTTGTTTATCTAAGGCAAGTATACTAGTATCAGAAATCATTCCAAACAAACTCAAAGATAGATTAAAAAAATCTTACCCTGAGAAAAATATGCTTGTCATTAATTTCGATTACAAAACAGCCTAAGTAAGTCAAAACTAAGTCTTAGGAAAAGAATAAGAATTGTTTTACTTAAACATACAAAGACACTGCAATGCCTACCCTTCTATGCTTATTCACTGCTTTTAAGAGAAAGTATATAATTTTCAACATGGTTTACAAAGCCCTCCAAGGCCTGCCTTTACCTATCTTTCTCTACCTTCATTTCATGTTTTGTTCCTCCTCATTCTCTCCATATGAAACTTAATCACTCATGAAACCACGGTCAAATTATGTTTATATATAGCAACATTACTTTTGTGTTGTTGTGAGGTGCCATCGAATAGGTTCTGACTCATAATGACCGTATTTACAACACAACGAAACATTGCATGGTCCTGCACCATCCTCACAATCGTTGTTATGCTTGAGGCCACTGTTGCAGCCACTGTGTCAATCCATCTTGTTGAGGGTCTTCCT